GTTTGTGTACATGTATATGATATCTCACTCAATCCTACTGTTTCCATTAACTCCAATCCCTCCTAAAAGTCGTTTTCTCCAGGATCAGGGAAGCAGACAAAGGGGAGACCAGGAGCTAACACAGTCATGGGCTTTGGATGCATTTGCAAAATCCCCTACACCAATTATTTACATCTATTTCTCTTCCACTTCCTTATTTGCAGGAGTTTGTTCAGCTGGCAAAGAGACTGGTTAGTGATCCTGCGTTAGAAAGAGAAATCGTGGCCAACGGAAGGGAATACGTGAGAACATGCCATTCCTGGCAGATGGAAAGAGACACGTACCAGCACCTCATCACGAAGCTAGAAGGAGGCACGGAGGTCTGAGGAGCAAGCCTCGTCCTCACCTGTGCCGTCCACACCTGCCACCAGATGCCCAGCCCTGCACAAACTCCAGAGACGGGGTCTAGCCCACTTGGGTTCAGTACAAATCAGACCAGTCTCTTTGGAATCTATGGTATATGGAATTGGTAGCTATGTTGATTGGGAGTCTCTGGGGACATGGCATTCATCCCAAATGTTTCTGTGCTTTCAGACACCGTCCCAGATGTGTCCACCCATCAGTCCTGGTGGAGGTGCATAAGTGAATTGGCTGATTTGGATGTGGAAGGGGCAATTGGTTTTTAGGAGAATTTCAGAGAGAATTTGATCAGATGCTTTAGGTTTTTCTCATGGGTGTTAGAGGCTTATGTTCAAGCAATCACAGTGCAGACCCCTCTTTCCTGTCTTCTGAGTGACCTGTACCCCTCATTGCCAGTTCAAAAAACAGACATAAAAACCAGGTGTGTCAGCTGAGTGGCGTCCTGGCAGCATCTTTGACATGATCTTGGAGTCCTAGCATGTTGCTGGCCCCAGGCTCTGACCAGTCTGCTTCTCTAGATGCTAGATGGTGCTATAAACGAGCTCACACCCGGTGCGTCTTACTCTTTAGTGGTGTGACTGAAAGACTAGGTGTGCTTTCTAGAAAAGGGGCTCTGCAGGCCCCGCCCACCTCTTCATCAAATTTGATCAGAAAACGGGGTTGGAATAAGCACCAGCCACATCACCTGTGGCCTGGAAAATACTCGAGTGACCCTGAGAGGGAGGCCTCGGTATGTGGGTCCAGTGTGGAGATTCCTTTCCTTTCCAGCATCGGGGAGCCAGGGACAATTGTCAAGTGGATCACAGGGTTCCAGCCCGTAGTAGAACTGGATTTGGGTCTATGTGAGGTCACTGAAGACACCAGGAGGTCAGCCCAGTGGTTGCTGTAACAATGACCTTACCACATCAGCACGTCCTCCCTAAAAGTAGATTCAGTGTTCTTTGGTAGCTGTATTAAGCCAAGATAACCTCCACTGAATACTGAAATCATTGCATTCCAGTGGACATTCATTATGACAGATGGGGAGTTAAGTGTCCCATTGCCTCTTGTGAAGTAGAAAGCCATCAGTTTGGAGGAGGGAGAAGCTAAAGCAACTGCAGAGCCCTGGCATGCACAGTGTTTTATTAATGAGTTTGTCTAATGCCCTTAGATTCAAGACGGAGGGGATGCAGGGGAGTCTCCACCAACACTATCCTTGCTCCAAGTTTTGGGACACATGTTGGGTTTTTTGCTTTTCAACCATCATGCCTTTAAAAACTGTAAAACCTACATCTTGTTTTTAAAAGAAACAGCCTCAAATTAAACTTCTTAAACTCTGATGCCTTGGGGAAGAGAACAGCATGTTCAGATTTCGTACCATGTAATTTGGCTCATTCTGCCACCTCAATCACAGACTAGAATTGCTCTCCAGAAAGGCAGTTCACTGGAAATGGCAGACATGCTGAGCTTTGGGGAGACCTGCTAAACAATGCCCAACTCCCCTCCCCCCCCCTTTTCTTTCTTTTTTTTTTTTTTTGCCTTTATGGGTGCTAGGGTCATGGCTCCCATCTCTGGGCATAGGGAGAGAAAGAGGGAGAAATGGAGCCCCGGGCCCTGAGGGGACATTTCCATCTGAATCTGGAATCAGCAATGCCATCCTAAGAAAAGGTACTACCTGGTCCAGTGTTAGCTCAGATACCATCAGACAATGCTGCTGTTTGTAAAATGCTGATTGTCTGGAAGCCTGAATCTGTTCCTCGTTGAGTGACATTGTAAATACCTGACCTCCACTGTACCTCAATATCACTAATTTATGTCTTTGTATAGAAATGTGCACATGCCTAATGCACTTTGGAGAAAGGCATGTTTTTAAATTAATAAAACGTGTCACCATCAGCCGTACTAAAATAGCCTCTGTTTATTCATACTGTGAGCGGCATTCTGCAAGGAACATACCCCTCCCCACCTGGCAACCCCTGAGCCTTAAAAGGGATTGCTGTCCCTTATACATCTAATTAAGAGGGGTTTCAAATGCAATCTCTATTTTAATAATGAAGGATAGATGTAAAAACAATACTTTTCTGTAAGTGTTCTGAATGGTTTCAGTTCCACACTCAGTTCACTTTATGTTTAAACGTTTTTTGTGTGTATTTTTCATTTTGCTAATGTACAGATTTGAATGACTCAAAAACTAAGTTTCCAGGTAAAACTAAGATACCTTAACCTTCAAATATGGAGGAGAATACTTTTAATATGAATAACCCAAATAACCCAGTGTCGTGCAGCAGAGAGTCACGGTGCATAATCCCTAGACGCTCACAGTAAAGCAATGAAATAGAGTAGCTTTTTGGTCTGAAAGATTCATTAGGCATTTTAAAGCTTAAAAACACAGACTGCATATGCTCTCTTTGTAAATGGAACCGTGCAGCTCCACTCGGGCACTGCATGGTCTTGGTGTTGAAGACCATCTTTGCCATGCACGGCTAAGGGTGGGGATTTTGAAAACACTGGAACTTTCAGCAGGCATTTTGGCTCCCGGTGTTGCCTGCATTCCTGTGTTGGCTTCGCTAAGGCCACTTTGCGTAGCTTCGTAACCTTTTTCCTTGAAGCTTTCCTGGTAGTTGAACTTGCCCTCTTCCTCATTTATCTGTAGCTCCCTGTAAGACAGGGAGGGCTAGCTCTTCTTGCCTATCTTTCCAGGGAAGAAGTAGTTGTCTTCTCCATCCTTTCCCCCCTCCCTCTCTTCATCCTTCATTCTCTTCCTCTTTCCCTCCTTCCTTCCTTCCTTTTTTCGTCCCTCCTTCCTTGCACCTCCCCATTTCCCACCCTCACGTCACCTCTTTCATCCTAACATCCCTTTATAGAGTCAAGGGTTTGATGTGGGAATGGCCTATGGGAGGACCTCCCTATCCAAAGCCAGCCCTTACTAGGAAGGGCCATTTAAACAAACTTGGCATTTAAAAACCTAGATGCTCAGGTGAAATCTTAGACAAATTGCATCAGATTCTCAGGGGGCAGCCCAGGCCTGAAGCTTGCCGATGATCTAATGTGCAGTCCAGGTTGACAACTACTGACTCAGATAATCTATTTGAATAAGGACCAGAATTTTACGGAAAACAAGGACAACCTAAGAGAAGGTTGGATTGTGACTTTGTACTGAAAAATGAGTCCCCACATTAAGAAAATAGTTTAAATCTGTCTTATGTTTAACAAAATTTATTTACGTAAGTATAATAGATTATGACTATAGGGCTGAGAAGTATTTCACACAAACAAATAAGCAAGAAATAAAAGCATAAGCTGGGACCTCATCAACATTCCCAGAGCTGCTCTTTTGATATTTGCAAATTTCCTTTTGCAGTCCCTGTCCCCCCATCGTCCTCGCTGGTTTTCTTCTTCACTCATTAGCTGCTGCCAGACCCTCACATGCCTGTGGTTCAAGTAGGTCTCTAATGTCCGTGTCACCAATTTCAATAAATTCTGTGTCTTTTGCAACATTTGCAATTATACTTGTCAATGTATTTACATTGTGTTAGCATTTTAAACATTCTAAACACCTGACAATAAGAGAGACTGACTTGAACTCCTTGAGTGGGAGGGCATCAGGGTTGCATTTGGTTATAATGAACAGAAATTCCGGAATAAACAGTGGCTTACACAGAAAAGAATTTTTTTTTTTCTCAAGTAAAGAGATTCCCTGAGCTGGAGTGGTGTTCCCAGGCACCCAGACTCTTTCTGTTTTTCCTGCATCCTCGTTATAATGAACAGAAATTCCGGAATAAACAGTGGCTTACACAGAAAAGAATTTTTTTTTTTTCTCAAGTAAAGAGATTCCCTGAGCTGGAGTGGTGTTCCCAGGCACCCAGACTCTTTCTGTTTTTCCTGCATCCTTGGTGTGTGGCTGTCTCTACCTCATGGTGTAATTTGGCTGCCCAAGCTCCACCATCATGCCTGAATTCCAGGCATCACAAAAATGGGAGGCAGGAGCAAAGGCACTTCTCCTCACTTTCAGGACAATTCTTACCTCCAGTTACATCCCATGGCCACACCTAGCTGCAAGGGAAGCTTGGAAATGCAGGCTTTATTCTGAGCAGCCATGTGCCCATTTGAAAATTAGGGATTTATGGTCAAGAAAGAAGGGGAGGACACATATTTTAGGGGGCAACTTGCAGCTGCAGCAACCTTTGAGAAAAATTGGCTTTAGATTCTGCAGTGGTTACAGACATCCTGCTTTTTATTAATTGCTGACTACATTTTAATGTCAAGAAAAGTGTTTTCCAGGTTTTAATTTAGCCTTTAAGGCCACCCTGACACAGCTCACCTTTTGTCCCCAAGATTCTCATTAGTAATACAAGTTCTCAGCCAGCTTCTAGTATTGATTAGTATCTCAAACCCTACAGTTTCTAAATTAAAAATTCAGAGTAGAAGAGTACGTGAGTTTTCATCTGAGTCTCCTAAAATGTTCCTTCATGTTAGGTGAAATACAATTGTAGAAAACAGTGAAATTGAAGGTATTGATTATATATATAATTATTATATATATATAATCTCGGTCCTTCTGAACGTTGTCATCATTGCCCTGAATAAGTAAGCACATTATTGTTTGTGTTGGAGGGTCTTGAGGAACAGAAATCTTTTGAAGGAAGCCAGGAGTCAGAGTTTGACTGAAACAAATTAAGAAATTACATTAAAAATGAGATGAAATAGAGTTCCAGCTTGCATAGGGTTTAGGGTCTAAAGACAGTGTTTAAAACCAAAATCTTGCATAGCCAAGATCACCCTTGAAAACTGTCCACTAGCAGGGATGTTTGATTATATATACAAGGGTACTTCAAAAAGTCCATGGAAAAATACACTTAAAAGATAAATACCACTTTACCATGAATTTTTTGAGGTACCCTCTTATACAGGCCAGACATAAGCAAGGTTCAGGACCACTGAGCTCAGTTAAAGAAAGTCAGCCTCTGGATGTCTAGTGTTCCAAACTATTCTATAGAATTGAATCTCTAGCGGAGACTGTGTAAATATTCCCTGGGGATATAGCAATGAACAAAGCAGAGGTCCACCTCTGTTACTTTCTAGTGAGGCCTTGCTGTTAGCATGTATATTAATGGTGCTTGTTTAAAGCGTTCAATGAGGTAATGGAGTCATCTCTAACAAAGGAATTAGGATCAAAAGTGAGCAAGAACCTGACCTATCACTTGGGCTTTTAAGCCCCACCCGTTCTCAGAGTGATCACTCCATCCAACATACTGCAAGTAATTTTTAAGAGAATTTTCCTAGACTCAAAAGGAACTTCTGGTAAAAACGAATGCACAAAGGTGGGGCAGAGGGATCAGTTAAAAGAAATGACTTCATCTATCTGGCCACAATCTATTTTAAAAAGATTATTTTATAATCTCCCTCTTCTTTCAAGACTCATAAATAGTCCTTACAAATTTAGGCTGAAAGAAATGTCTTTCCAAAAAATTACACAATTCTCTAAATTGCAAAAGCTTTCTTCTTAGGAAAGAAAAGAAGTCAGAGTCATGCCTTTTTCAGTAGAGGCCTTTGACATCACCCTAAGCCCTTCAGAAAACCTCAACTATTAGAAGAATCATGCTCTATTTAAAATGGATTGTCTGTTTAGCATCAGTATTTTCATTTTACCGTCTAATAGAAAAATATGCTAAACATTTCCCCAAATCAGAAAGGTTAATAACAAAATGTTTGTAAGATGCCAGAGAGCAAAGAGCCAAGCAGTGTAGTATACTAGCTTTCTGACTACTTATTTGGCGCAAATTCCTCAATTTTAGAAATATCTGGAAAAACAGCTGGCAAAGTCTAAAGATCTGTTAGATTGCAGTTTGCAAAGAAGGCTTCCCTCCCTCCGTTTTTCTGACTGTCTCTTCCAACATGTAAATAAATGCATGCAAAGGTTCAGTAGTAATATAAACAACGATCATGCATGAGGTGATTTAAAAAGCAGCTGCATTTGTGACTTGCACTCTGTCGAGTGAGGTCATTGCTCCAATTCTGTCAGTAATAGCAAATGTTAAATGAACACTTACTGTTTGGCGGGTATAGCATTCAGTGTGACAATGCTGAACTTTACCCAAGCCCTGTTGAAAACAGTGAAAGTTAAGAAATCCCCCACATTTTTCTGTTCTAAGAATTGGCTCCCTGCCAGGAGCCCCATCCCCACACCACCTGGGTGAGACTCACAGACACCTCTGCCCAAGTGCACAGGTGACAAGACCAGGCACAACCCCTCCAAGTTCCCAATCGTTGCCTCATCAGTGATGAGCTGAACTGCTTGTTCCCATGGATCCATCAAGATAGAACGCATGTCAACCAAACTCTGCTTAATACCTCCTTCTCCCTGGCCCAGAGCTCTGCCCCTCAGCCTGAGCCCCAGATGGCCCTGTAGCCCCTCCTGCGGGCAGCCTCGCCTGTGGGAAAAGCATTCCCGGATCCACTGTCGAGCCTTCCCCGACCCCATCCCACGTCCACATGCAGCTCTTTCGGCTTCTTCCTCCCATTGTGCCAGACACTTGGGACGCTTGCAGGTCTCGTGGTCAGAGCATCCTGCCCACTGTGATCGTCCCTTCCTGACCCCCTGCGAGGATCCTTGCAAATAAAATCTCTCCTCACTGAGTACAGATTTGTTTTTTTATTTGACAGTGCCTTATCCACAGAATCTCAATCCTCACCACATGAGTTTACAAGTAAGGAAATTGAGGCACTGAAACTGGTCCTGAGTCACATGGCTAGAAAGGGATGGGGCCAGGAGGCATATCAGTTGGCTGGTGCAGAGGGTGTTCTCTCAGTCTCTCTATCTCTGTCTGTGTCTTTCAATCTCTTTCTCTCTCCCCTCTCTCTTGTGCAGTTGCCAGGTCTACCCTAAGAAATAGAGTTTGCACATGAGT